GGGGCCGGCCCCCCCCCCCTTCTCTCTCTCTCTCTCTCTCTCTCTCTCTCTCCACAGGAAAGAGAGGCGTTTGCGTTTCGCAAGCTCTCCTCTTCTCTCCCCCCCCCACCGCTCTCTTTTTTTTCCCCTGAGGGAAGGAGCATTCTGATTGGGCCGCTGTCTTCCGTCCGCGTTTCCTCCTCCTCCTCCCGCCTCTTCGTTGAGGGGAAGGCGGCTTCTGATTGGTCAGGCCTTTTAAGAGCCGCGTCCCCCCTTCGAAGGGGATTGGGTGGTGTCTTTTTCTCTCTTTTTTTCCCCCCTCTATTTTTTGTTATGATGTTTTAAAGTCCCGCCCCCTCCTCCGCTGAGGCGAGACGCTTTCGGATTGGCCGGCGCTCAAAGGAAAAGGGCGGGGCGAGATGGGAGGAGGAGGAGGAGGAGGAGGGGCCAAGGGGCGCGACGGTGAGGGGGAAGGTTGGATACGGAGCCGGCAGGCCCGGCCGTGATTGGCTGGCTCGTCTCTGGCGCGCCCTCGGTCTCTCTCTCTCTCTCTCTCTCTCTCTCTCTTCTCGGCCCCTCATTTGTTTTTTTTGAGTCTTGTTTCCTGCGGCGCGTGGAGCCCGTGACGTGACCGTGAAGTTGAAAAGGGGTGGGGAGAGCGAAAAACGGTTGCCCAGAGGGACCAGGAAAAGGCCACGCCCCACCGGTTCTAATTTGCATGGCTCCGCCCATTAATTCTTTTTAAATGCCTCTGGTTTGGTTTGTCGGCGGTTGCGCATGCTCTCCGGAAGGAATCGGCCGTGGGCATGCGTAGTACTGCGCGGTGGTTCCGACAGCGGCCATGATGGATTTGGGCAGCTTTTGGGAATAGGAGCTTCTGGTTGGGGAAAAGCAGCTAATCATTGAGGCCATTTAAAGTTATGCAAATATTTTACCGCCAAGAAATAATGATTAGTTTTGTGAACGAAGGCCTCCAGTTCTCCTGGACTAACTCAACAGCAGTGTGGGATAGTGGTTAGAGTGGTTTGTTTATTTAAATTATTTTTACTCCGCCTTTCTCCTTGAAAAAGACCTAAGAGTTGAAACAATGAAAGGCAACATTTAAGATTGAAAACAATGGATATACAACTGAGGTTAACATTAAAACCTCATCCAATATTAAGGCAAAGATCAGTATGCAAGATGGTGTTGAGCTAGAATTTGAGAGACCAGAGTTCAGATCCTACTGGATTCTGTCTCACCTTGGGCTGATCCCATTCTCTGGGCCTGACCTCCCTCACAGGGTGGTTGTGAGCATGCAGTGGGTGGGAGGGAGAGCAGCTGAGATTTTAATGCAGGAGAATCGGGGTGGAAATGCAGCAAGTAAAGCAACCTGATGTCACAGCCAGTGCCAAGTGGAGGAAGGGAAGAGTGTGTAAAGAGAAGGTGCCAAGTGTCGTTGGGGAACCTAAGCTGGCTCCTGACCTTGTAGCTAACCCGCCCCCCTCTGCTTTGCACGGGCAAGGTTCCTCTTTGCAAACTTGTGAAAACCTCGGTAGAACCAGAAGGGCAAGAAATGTGTAGGACCTTCATGAAATAAGGGATGGGAAAGGAAGGAAGGAATAGGTGGCAGAAGAGAAACTTCTCAAGCACAGAGCTTTTAAGCTACAGGTTGTGGTGGGTTTTTTTCCCCCTGCTGAAGTCCAAGAAGACTACCCAGGGTTAATTACCCTGTCACCCAGGGGGATTTGAACTCACGTTTCCTGAGTTCTTGTCAGGTGCTACATTGGCTGTCAAAATAGCCAAAACTGCACCACACAGATATAAAAGGGAGGCTTATGTGTGAAGTATGCACAAAAGTGTAAAAACAATTTGGGGAGAAATATCCACACACACACAAAACCCAGCCCTGTGAGGGTAGAGATTGTTCAGTGGCCTTGAAACGCTGACTCAGGAGGGGAAGGACCAGGGACGAGGGCGCAATGAAGCGAAAAGTCTGGGTGTGGCGTTCCAGACTCTGAGAATGCTCCACCCCATAACATTTTGTGGTCCAGCCTCTTTATATAATAGTGGACAGAAGAGGCTACTGCAATTCTAAGAGTAAGGCAAGTAAACAAACAGAAATAGACTCACCCACCCCCCGATTCCTGGTCGGGAGCATGTCCAGTTGAAGCTGGACGGTGGAAAAAGACCAAAACAAGAGAGATCAGCAATAGACACAAAATGCTCTTATTCTGTGTCTTTGTATCGGTTATAGTTATGGAGAATATGGGCTGGACAGAATGCATTCCAGCCCATATTCCCCATAACTGAATCAGAATGTTGTGTCCCTTTCATCCCACATACGCACCAGGCTAAAGATGGTTCGTCTTGCAGGCTGTGTTGGCTTGCAACCTCCCAGGCGTCTTTTGCTGGAGCTGATGCCTGCTAAGCTTCCTTAGGTTGCCGTGGCAGCCAAAGGGGATGGTTGCTTAGCGACACAGGGAACCCAGGCTTGTGCCAGCTGGGATAGGCTTCCGAAACGCAGGCGGCTCTTTCCCCTCCTTTTGCATTGGCCGCTGCGCATGACACTCAGGCAGAGATGCTTTTGTACTTCCTGCCGGGCAACTCATGGGAAAGACAGTGAGAGAGTTGGTGGATGGATGGGTGGGGCGGGGGGGGCTCTCTTAATTAGTACCCACTAAAGTAGTTGGCACTGCGTTGAGTCCAGCCTCTGCTGGAAATCAAGGGTGAAATACGTGTTTTGCTTCCATTCCTCTTTGCAGGAGCTACAAGGGAGGCAGAGGAGCATGGCCCCCACCAAAAAGGGCAAAAGGAAGAAAGCAGGAAAGCAGAACAGAAAGACTGCGCCAGGTAAGCTGCCTCAAAGGGGGAAACGCCTGCCACACCATATTCGTGTGGTTACTTACTCAGGGTGGGGGCAGCACATTGGATCAGGATGATTTGTGGACTTTCTTTGCTTCTGATCCTCGCCAGTGCCCTTTAATGTCTAGAGTGCTCAGACTGAAGAAGGGCCCGGCTGGACTCAGAAATGTGCCCCCCCCCTTTTTTTCACATTATACTGATCCAGCAAAGATAGACAAAATCCCAACACAAGCTGGGTCCATGCA